GTTCATTTAAGTTAGGGTTAGTTGGTTAAATATTAGCAGATATATAGCAAAATTGCTTAAGGAATTTTTTTTGTTAGAGTACAAAAGGTGGTTTCTTATACAAATTTTTGAGAAATTAACAATTTTTTAAAAAATAATCATTTTGTTTTGATCTTTCTGATTGTGTAATATTATATCAAAGCAAGGCTTGCTATTGTATAAGCAATTATAGATTTTCACATAACAGTAGAATTTTTGTGGTGATTCTGAGATAGTTTTGAAAGAAGACAGCAATCATATGAGTTTTAGCTAATTATCACTATAATATGAAAACAATAATTGTGGCAGATCATAATGAAATCAGATTATAATAATAGGCTTATAGGTAGCCATGACAAGTCTAAAACTTAAACTAACTAATATATTGCATATTCTAAGTAAAGTTAGATAGATTAGCATAGAAACTTATATTAGAGAGTTTAAATAGAAGATCTACAAGCAGATCTTAGCTATAATATATAGAAAACAACTATAGATAAAAATAGATATAGTAAAGTTTTTAAATAAATAATAACTAAAGTTGTATATATGTTTATATATATTCTTATCAAAATGTACTTGTCTGAAACCTATTGAATAAAGCATTATATAATCTTACAATCTAATAAAAATAATAAGCTGAAGAAGCTAATCTTGATTATAAAAAAAATTATATAAGGAAGACTAGAGTATTGTAACGAAGTTAAGGTTTTTACTATAAAAACTTTTTACTAACCTGTACAAACCTTAAATATTTATACACATTGATTTACACTGCATTCAAAAATAGAGCCACTATAAAAAAAAAGCAAAAGACAAATCAGAATTAATAAAAGATCATCATCACGTGCAATGCATTATAAATTTAAAATTTCGAACGAAAGGGGTATTCTGACGAATTCAATTTAATTATAAAAAAAAAATTTTTTTAACCCGATTTTCTTTTAGTGTTAGAATTAGTTGTTGCACCGCCTTTTTTTTGAGCAGCTGCTCCTTTTTTTTAGCTAGTACCTTTTTTTTTTTGCCTGCCACTTCTTTTTTTTTGGCTGCTGCTTTTTTTCTTTGGGCCACCACCTCTTTTTTTTGCTTTATTTCTTCAACTTTTCGTTCTGCTTCCTCATTCAACTCATTTAACTGATGCCAACTTTCCTCTTCAGTTAAAAGCCGTGCAAATAGAAGTGTCTTTCTCTTTTTTTTAGGCAAGAACGACATAAGCTCAGGCTGGTCTTTAGATCTTTCACGATCAGATGTAACTTGAGAATTTTGAGAGAATTTTGAGCTTGAAAATTTTGAGCTTGAGAAACTGGATACTTGAGTGCTAAACGTAATGCACATGTCCCAGAGTTCTTATAAGTTTCCAGTTCCTCACTTAGTTTCTTAACCTGAGATTTTAACAAATCATTTTCATTTTTAAGTATAATATATTCTTCCTTTAAATTATTAGCATTTAGGTGAGTAAAATGAAAATGATTTGATTGAGCAAGTAATGGCGAAATTAAAGGTGGGTTGATGGGTTCATTAAATTGTTCAGTTAATAAAGAAGGGTCTAAATGATCAACACTAATCGCACTAGGATTAAATGGCCATATGCCAGTGGTTCTGTAGACGTTGCAAATTGCTAGTGGTGTATAGGCCTCAATAAAAACGGGACTGAGAATCTTCGCGAAGGTATGCTTAGTTACTATTTTATCGTTATTAGTATGATACTTATCATATTCTTTACTAAATTCTTTTTTTAATTTCGCGAATGGAATCTCAGATGGTTGTAAAACATGCATCGTATGAGGTGGTAGAGCAAAGAGAAGGATATTATTTTGGTGACAAAAGTCTACACTCATATAGTTAATGTGACTTTTGTGATCATCAAGTATCAATAGGACTGATCGAATAGGTGGGATGGAATTAATAAAATGGTTTAGATACATTTGAAAAAGATCTTCTCTCATGTACCCAGAATCTGTAAAACCCATAACAGCTCCAGGAGGTGCGCCGTCTAATAGACCGGGGATTGCACGAACACCTTTATAAATGAATAAAGGCGGTATGTATGAACCAGCGGCTGAAATTGTGGGTACTACTGAAATATGTTCAGTAGTATTTCCGTGTGCGACTTTGTGAACCTGGCGTGCACCTTTTTGTGCAATAACTTTTTCAGATTTGGGAATAAGGACGAAACCAGTTTCGTCTATATTCCAAATCTGTGTAGCGGTAAGTGAATTTTCATTAATTATTTTGACAAGTTTTTCAAAATAATCTTTCACAATTGTTGCATTAGCCTTTTGTGCTCATGCTTCTGATAACTCTTGGAGAGTGCAAAACGACAGCTCAGGGTGATCTCTCATAAAACGCACCCACCAATTATGACCTGGTCCATTATTATTAAAAGGATGTGGTGCTTGCTTAATCTTAAGATTTCCATCACACAATGATTAATGCCAGATCTTATTAGGCCAAACCCAAGCTTCTGGACATTAATACAATAGCCTGCAAGTTGATCCTCCTCATGCTTGATAAGTATAGTTGGTGGGCCTGTATGGTTAGAAGGGTTGCCATTTTTTACGGCATGTCTAAAAGTAGCTTCCAGGATTTTAAAACTTTTAGCAACACTATTGATACTTGGCCATTTAGAGTTAGAAGGGTAATTATTTAATTCTTTAAGTGCCTTACTAATAGTGTTACATCGATTAATATAAGAGACTGGAGGCATGTTTAATGTATTGCAAAGTTACAATATGGTCTTAAAAATATAACAGTATCATGTAAAATAACTTTAATCACAATGTTTGCTTTTACTATGCAATGAATAATAAAAAAAGTATGGTGGTAAATAATAGCGTTCGCTTTTATTATAAAATGAATGGATAGTTTTATACATGTAATTCCTTTATAAAATAAATATTGTCAAAGGTCTAAATTTATTGGCCCGTCTGAAACGTGTTTAATTAATTAATCTTACAAATAGTGCCATGGCATTATTTTGAGACACACAATTTCCAGAGGTCTAAAAGTTTATTTTAACAAATATAAACAACAATAAAATTATTGCTTAAATTAATTCTTAGTTCTGGAAATTGTGTGTCTCAAATAATTATAATCTTGAACGTTCTTATAAAAATGGAGTTGAATAGCTCGAGGTGTTATTTTAATGATGATACAGATTGTTACAAATTAAAGTACTAAATATGTACTAAATATGCAATGCAAGTTCAATTATGATGAACTTTTTTTTTGTTTTTAGCTTAAAAAGAGCCATGACATGTTATTACTAGTTTTTTTTGCAGTGCTTAGTATGTGTGCTTCGTTACAATGCATGGTTTGTTAGTTCGTCATAATACCCTATTCATCATAATACCGCATTTCTCATTGACCTGGTGTTCCTAATCGGGTAATTTTTATATGATTCGAATCCTCTAATTGAAAGGAATTGAATGGTACCGAAATTGTCTAGTTTGAATCACCAGATCACGAGATATTTCAAATTCGTCAAAATACTCCACTTCGTTACAATACCCCAGTCTCCCTTATATATAATTCTAGAATCTTATATATTTTTTATTTTATTATTTTTTTAACACTTTATTATTAAATTTAAGTCAAATTTAAAGTATTAGAAAAGAAAACTTTAACTAATTTTAGCTATTAATTTACCTAAACTATTTTATTTATAAATTATTTTTTTTACTTTTTATAGTCAAAGTTGGCCTTTTTAGCTTATTGCTTTTATTAGATTGTAGGATCATATAGTGTCTTTTTAAGGAGGCTTTAGACAAGTACATTTTGACAAAGATGCATATAGATATATATATAACTTTAGTCATTACCTATTTAAGAGCTCTGTTATATCTTTATAGTTATTCTTTATATGCTATACTAGGACTCTGAAGAACTTTAATACAATTCAGAGGTTATTAAAAAAGGAAATTTTATGTAGAATTCATCAATCATTGTGGCAGATCAAAATAAAATCAAATTAAATTTTTTACTCAACTTGTTAACCTTCTAAAACCCACTTATACTTGTTTATTATAACTTTACTTTAAAACTAACCTTTAACCCTAACTGCTATCTCTAAAAAATGCACCCCAAAAAATATTATTTTTGAGATTTTATATTATAATTTCATTTTGATTTAGGTTTTATTATGATCTGCTATAATTATTGCATTTTTATATAGTAAAATTTTAAATTTTAATCTATTTTATATGTCTATTTGCTAATATTATATAAACTCAAATCTGAATATATCAGAGTCCTGTTTACACATGCTGACAAAATTATTTTAGATTTCTAATTATGAAATTAAAATTTGAAAACGAAATTGTTTTTAATCTATTTTACATAAAAGATAGAATTTTTTGATACTTTTTTTGAAAAGATAAAATTATAAAGAACATAACTACCTAATTTAGATTTGCTTTTGCATATAAAAAATTTCAAATTGATTTAATTGGTGATTCGCCAGTTAGCCAATGAGGGGTTATAGTGTAACGTGATGCGGTTTACATATAAAATTTAGTACTATGCGAATGTGGGCTGCATCATTCTAAAACTTTTTTTTGTACTAAGT